TCTTTCTCATGGCACAGGAGGGGTCCTGCTTTCCTGGGGCCTTGGGAACAGGAGGGACATAGGCTGGGAGACAAACTCTTCCATTGTCCCCTGGAAGGCACCAGCAGCTTCCTCTCCCTCCTCTGGGGAGCTTCTGCTTCCAGGGAGGAAGGAAAGGGAGACCGGTACCTGGGATCAGCTGGAGGCTACAGAGGATGGAGGTTGGCTCTGTCTGGTTCTGATCTCTGGGCTCTTGGTCTAAGTTTGAGTTTGGGGACCCAAGTCCCATAGGGACTTGCTGCCCTGATAACAAGTGTTCTGTCCCTGCCCAAACCTACCCCATCCCTTCCCCTACTCCTGGCCAGGACTGGCAGGACCAGGCAGGAGTGGCTCTCTTAAAGTAGAGGGAGGTCTGGTTCCACCTGCTGTTCCCATGGCTGGCCTGGCTCAGATCCATGTGGCTGTGAGCGCCTGGGTCTGACTCAGGGGCCAGCCATGCTGCAGGGCTGGTTCTGAGCTCACACACCCACAGCCACCTGCTTATCCACTCCTCTTCGCTGCAACCCAGGTCTCCAGCTCAGCTTCTCCTTCTCTGACCAAAGACTCCACCCAGAGTCCCTTTCATCCTGTCTTGCCTCTGGAGAACGGTGGAGTCTGCCCAAGGAGGAGGGGCTTGGGGCCTATAGTCAATATATCCCCATGGGCTACTGTCCAGGTGGTATTCAGAACCACCTTGGACTTCAGCACAGGGACTGGAAGTAAAACCTCAGTACAACTGAAAAGGTTAGTTATGTCTTCTTACCTGTGGCTCCTTTTCAACTAAGCAGAGCCACAGACTAATATCCACTTACAAGGATTTGCTTAGCCAGCAAGTGCCATCTTTCTTCCCTTTCATGGACCCTTGGGAACATTAAGGAAGTGAAGGAGGAGAGGCTGACAAGAGGAAGTGGTCTTCAAGGTGGAGAAGAAACAAGAGGAGAAAGTCATTCTAGAGCAAAAGGATGCCATACACAACGACTTGGAGGGGAGGACCTCAGTGTGCTCGGAGCACTACACCAGTTATTTGTATGGCTGGTTGTGTGCAGGAGGGTGATGGAATTCGGAACCAGAGAAAGAGATGGGGACAAGAACACTCATTTATCCAACACTTCCAATACTGCTGTGCTTGGTTTGAGATAGGGTGTAAAGATCAAACAGACAGTAGGGCTGTAAAGATATTTGAACCTATAATTTGCCTTACTTGTTACCACATCCTTGGTTAGTGCCACAGTGCCGGGCACATGAAAGACACTCAGTAGAAATCTGTAACACAAATAGATAGTGAATGAATGAGTGCAGTGATGGCACGGGCACTTAAAGAGAAAGAGAGAAGGAAAAGAAGCTACGCTGAGGCAGAGAACCCAAACCTTAGACGAAAGTCCTTGGGGGACAAGGCTTATTTTTCTTTCTATTTAGATTAAAGAAAAGTTACTGTAGTTTTCAGGACAGACCTTCACTGTGGCTTGTGCAGTTAGTCACTCTCTAGTAGGAATTTTGGTGTTTTTGCCTCTGACGCAATATGCTATGAGGCTTTCACAGCACATAGTGTTGAGCAAGCACAGGCTTTGGCTGAGAATTTGGGCAGGGCCATCCATCAGAGCTGGGAGAGAAGGCCAGACTGATCGCAAGAGGCAAACACGAGCAGGGAAATGGCCATAAATGTTCCCTGACATAAGTGGGATATGTCCCCAGGTAGGCGCCTTTGGACTTGCAGGAGGCAGTTAATAATGACAGATCATGACATCTGGCTTGCTCAGAACCGAAAGCTGAGGGCTGTCAGAGGGAAGGAGATCCATTCCTACCACAGCTGAGTGGTGTCTGTCTGAGTGCCTCCCATTCACTCCTGCTGGGTGCTGGAGGTTTGCTTGGTAGGTGAAGGCAGGGTGCAGGCATGCGCCAGCCACAGGTCTGGGCCTTTGCAAGTGGGGCAGTCACACTGTCCAGGCTCCGCGTTGACCTCCTCCCACCAGGCCCCCAGGAAGAAAACTGGAACTTTGTTGAATTACAGCATCAACTCCACCTGGAAGAAAGAGGGTGCCACCAAGTCATGGGCACCTCCTGGAGCTTCATTCCTTTGGAGAGCTCAATACCGAGATGCAGATTTACTGTGGAGCTTAACAAAGCTCATGCCTCGGAGCTCTCCCTTGAACAGGCCTTCCTAAGATTCCAGATCTAATTTTGAATTCCACACTTTGCATTGCTTCTTTTATAGCTCTCCCCCATTTATAAGTTTCAGACGCATAGAGCTGGACCCACCCCTGTGTTCCTTGACTGGAAAATTGTGAGCAAATATTGGGTACCTTGGGGCTCAGTGTTCACTGGCCTCCTTTCCAAACTTTTGGTCAGGACCCTTGCCTGGCACTCTTTGGGCTGAATGGTGGAGGGCTTCAGCTCAGAACAGAAGAGATTCTCACTGAGGCCCAGCAGAGATGCACCGGAGCCACTGGGCACCAGAGTGGAAGGAGACTGCAGCTACAGAAAGTTAGTTCAGTGTCATCCCAGGAAATCCTGGCAGCCCAGGAAATGGCAAGTGTGAAGGCACCAAATCAATCATACTGAGAATGGCATCCATATGCCCCACCAGGGGGGCATTTGGTGATGACACATGACTGACCACTGGCTTAGAGTGGTGCTGTGATATAAGATACTACTCAATCAATCAGAAATTTGGGAAGGGTGAATCTATGTCATGTGAATCCTATCTCATTTTACAGAAGGATGAAGAGAGCTCTGTTGCTCTGGTACATTTTGCAGGTGTTGGATCCAGGCATGGTGGGTCCAGGAAGGCACTGTGTGTTGCTGGGGTTTTTGCACTGCCTCCAGAGAGCTTAGTTACACACATCAAGGGCTGTTCAGGGACAAGTATTTGCTTATGCTAGGATACAAGGCAGCTGCAGTCCTTAGGGTCAGTGAAGTGGCTTTGGTTATCTCTGGGTGATTGGGCCCTGATTCGCTCCCATTATCTTGGCATATTTTAACAAGCTCTATGAGCCTGGCACTTGCGCAAGCCAGAAGAAGAATTAACAATTAACCAGACAGTGAGAGAAAGGAGAGAGATTGTCCTTGTACCCTGGAGCCCTGTGCTGCCCCCTGAGCCACACCCCCAGCCCTCCTGGTGGCAGCACTGGTGAGTGAAGAGCAGGCAGGTTAGGGCTGCTTGAGAAGAACTTGGCCTCCAAAGGGCTCAGCAGAGCCATCCAGGCTCAGGCTCGGGCCCCATCCCTTCACAGATGTCCAGATATCTGGGAAGAACACCTCCTCTTCCAGGGCCTGTCCAGTCCTGCCTGTCTGTAGCTCCACCAGTTCCAGATAGCGCTTAGACTTCATTTCCCAGTGCACGGAGCAGCCATCTCAGTATTTTCCTGAGATGCGTGTGGTTGAAGAGCCTCTGGCCCTGTAGGGACACTGGCCAGAACACATTGATACCTCTTGCATTTTTCTGGGACACATGGCGAGGCATGTGCATATATGTGCACACACAAATATGCAACCATGTACATATGTAGGGCACAATGGAATCAATTTCTTCACACCCTGTTCTGTGTCAAGAAAATATGCCGGGAAAGCAGTTGATAGACTAAATGGCATAGAATGTAGAAATTTTGAAAGGCATTGGCCAAAAGTGCTGGTGTGGGATGGAGCTCTTGTCAAGAGTTGCTCCTGTGTTTGGGGTGCCCCTCTTCCCCATGGCTCTCAGGGTCAAGTGGAGCTGAACAGGAGCCTCTTTTAACTACTGTTTTTTTGGAATCCTCTGCCATAGTCGCTGCACTGTTTTGGATGCCAAATCCTAGCAGAGGACCATTAGAGAACAGGCACAAGAGTGCTGGGGGCTGTCTCCAGGAACCATCCTGCATCTCAGCTGAACCTCCAGTCCAGGGCTTAATAGGAGCTGCCAAGGTAGCAGGAAGCAGGCTGCGGGGCTGGCTGAGCTCCCCACGCAGTAGGGCCCATTGTCATCCGCAAAGTTTTCCACCTCTTAGCCTCCGTTTCTGTGGGAAGGTAGGCTGTCAAGGGGACACCTTCTCCAGTATCTCAGCTGCATCCCTCAGTGATAGGGCTGTTTCCCTAAAGATACTTGCCTACAGTCATAGGGGTAATTTGCTAATACTTGCCCCGCAGCCTGCTGCTTCATAGCCAGTTTTCTACCTGCCTTCTCCTGATGGAGATGTGCAAGGTGGAGAATCATTTTCTCCTTTGAATTGGAGCAATACACCTTCCTAAGCATCGGGAAAGAATGGTGATGGTATATAGCCAAGGAGATGGTGCCCAAGAAAATGTCACGCATTTGGATGTCCTCTGCGCATATCCTGGCAGAAAAGGCATCGTACCTAGATGCTTGGGTGGTCAGGGGCAAGGAGTCTGTGCTAGCAGTGGGGAGGATCAGGGTAAGGACAATGGCAGGTTTGGACATCCACTCACACTATGGAGGAGCCAAAGTTGATGAGGCTAGGAGGCTATTTACCATACCTCGCATCTCCTAACCTTTGAGAAATGTTCTCTGTAAGAGTAAGAAAAAGAACCATGCCATCTCCTTGAGACAGCTTATAGTGTCTGGATCCTTACCCTCTTTCCTATCAGTACAAAAAGTCCAACCCATTCAAAGACACCGCTCTTAATAATTTTTTTATTAAAATACTGTTATACCCAGTGGAATGCAGCAGCAGTCCTGGCATGGGGTGGCATAACAAAACAGCCATGTTTACATTTTAAATATTTATGATAACTTAAACATATAGACACACATCATGGTCTTTGGCAGAAAATGTTCACAGCACAAAAAATACTTTAAAAGAAATACCAAATATTAATCCAAAATATATTAAGTTGTTTTTTTTCACCTTTCACATATTTTTTTGCCTTTTTTTTCTTCTTCTTCTTGCTTTGTAAACAATGCACATGAACCAAATGTATTTTTCAGCTTTAAACAGGGGTAGGGGGAATTTAAAAAAATATGCAATTGTCCAGCAAATGCAAATGTTTAAAAAGGAAATTCAGGGAACCAGAGGAACACATATTGAATCCAAAAACAGTGAAGAAGAAAAATACAACAAATTTTAAGGAAAACTAGAAACAGCAAGGACAAAACTGCTAATACCCACCAATCGCTCCTATGGCTGAATCAGGGGACTTTAAGACCAGGAGTCAGTCACTGTTGCTGTAGGCTGCCATGTGGGATGCTTTCTCCTTGATTCAAAGTATCTGGCCCAGCTTCAGGGCTTGGGATGGGTAGCTAGAGGAGCCAGCCTCATGGGGATAGTCTGCGATAGGGGCTCCACTCAGAAGACAATTTGAGTTACACATTATAGCTAATTGACTAGTTTTCAACAGCAGTGTTCCCTTTCCCAGTCCCTCCAGGTGGGAACAAAGACACTTATGAGAACAAGACAACTTCTCCAGTTTCCTCAGAGAGAAATGGTGCTGGGCAGGGCCACCCATGTGCATGGGTGGGCATGGCAGATGTCTGTGTGTAGCGGCTCATTTCATCTGGCTCAGAGTTTATAATCAAACTGACAGGGTGTCCCAGGGATAGAAGTTTCAAACTGCTGGTGACGGGGATCCTATTTAGGACAGTATTTAGAGAGACAAAAAGAACCAACATCTTGTGAATCAACCCACGTCAAACTCCATGGACCAAGAAGTTGAGGAGGAGGAGGAATAACCGGGAGGCCAGTCCGAAGTTTCATGGTGGCATGCACAATGAACAGGGCCCACGGAGACCAACCTGAACCAACATGCCACAATCTTCCGTTACGTAAGAAAAGGAATTATATACAAAGCACTCATTGTCCCCCAGTCCACTTGAATGGCCCCTAATCCATTCCAAGTGAGGGGTGAAGCTGTGTCTTCTGCAAGTCCCTCAAAAGTCCCTATAAGATTCAAGTCTTGTGTTCCCAAGAAGGCAGTGAGGAGCTGAAGAGCAGATGAGGTTTGCTGGAACCACATTTAGCCAGAGGAAAAGCATGGCTGGCCTGGTTACCCTGCTTGGTGCCCATGGGTAACCACCCTTGGGAATCTGCTCCCCAAACCAACACATCCCCTCTCTCCCTTCTTGTCTAAATGCCAACTGGCAGGGCAGAGGGGGCTCAGATTCCTTCTGGGCTTTCTGGTGCTACCCCAGCAGCAGGTAAAGGGTGAATCCACATTCTCCATTGGCACAGGTGGAATCTCCTGGGGTGCTGGTCTCTCTCAGCTCCCTCTCCTTTGCAGCACTCCTCTCTGAGCTCCTGGGACCAGCCAGTCAATGGTTGGGGAAAGTAGGGAAGATGGAGTTAGGGGCTGCTGGAATGGCCGAGAGTGGCAGAAAAAGGCAGGGCATGATTCAGGGTCTCCAAGGAGCCACCATCTTTAGATCAGTATCTCCACCATATCTGACAAGTCCTGGACTCTGGATGTAACTATAGAGTCTGCAGAGAGAGACAAGAACACAGGTACATGCCATGAGGGTTACTAGACTGCTCTTTTCAAAATCTTGCCCTTTAAAAAATTGGAAAACCAGTTAACCAGGTTCCCAGTTGGGTCAACCAAGCACAATGCCCTGCTTCTTCTCAGCTCTCTCGAGCAGACCACCCTCTAGCGTGGATGGCTTGTTTGTGATTTTGCACTGGTTAGAGGACTTGAAAGAACCCATGGAGAGCCCCGAGGGAGGGAGGCTGTAACATTCTTTTCATGCCTGTGGCTTTCTGAGATCATGAGGCCCAGGCAAATATGCAGAAGCGAATGTGAAAGGGGAGCGAAAGGAGCAAGGGCCTCTTCTCAAGTTTCTGTTTCCCAGACTCCTTTTCAACAGTCTTCCAATTTATGAGTGCCATCAGGGGACAACCTGACAAGCTCCAGCATCTTAGATGGGCAGATGGGCAGTGCAATAAATACGTAAGGAAAGGATGGAGAGGGAGACAGTGCCTTCCACTGGGCTGCTGTGCTCCTGAATTTTTGATCTATCTTGATTTAGGGTTTCTAGTTCCTCTACTTATGCACCAGCAGCCCTCATGCTCACAATGGGGTGAGCACCTTTCACCATGTAGTGCTCCCCATAGAGGGTGGGCAGTGACCAGGAAGAGTTTGGGAAGAGGGGGCCTTGGTGTCCCACCTCACACCCCAGCACGCCCGCAGATGGCCCAGCACAGAAGTCAGGGGGAAGTGGGGGCTCACCCAGAGAGGCTGCCCTCTGGCCACTGCTGCAGCTGGGAAGGCTGTCAGGCTCTGACGTCAGGTAAGCAGAGGTGCTTTCCACAGGGCTATCAGTCTGGGTGCTCCCATCCCTACTCCCATGTTTGGCATGGGTAGGGAGGGGAGCTGCAGCTATTGGCTCTTCCGTGGGTGTCCTGTCTGTAGGAAAGGCAGGAGTGTGGTGGTTAATGCCTGGCTTACAAGATGTAGCCCCAATGAAGAACACCTCAATGAACTGGAACCCATTGGGCATCTCTGTCTTTGTACTTTTTGGTACCAGGTATCGAACTCAGGACCTTGTGCTTGCCAGGCAGGTGGCACCACCGAGCTAAATCCCCAGCCCAGGGCATCTTTTGAGCTGCAACAACTCTGATAAGGCTAAATGCTTCTATCCCCCTTATATTGGGGATTGAATCCATGAAGCATTGAGCTACAACCCTAGCCTTTTTTTCTTTTTAGACAGGGTCTTGCTAAGTTGCCCAGGCTAGCCTTGAACTCCTTCTTCAGCTTCCTGAGTAGATGGTACCACAGACATGTGACACCACATCCAGCTAACACTTGTTTTCAAAAGGGAGTAACTATCAGGTTGGATCAGTTTCCAAGTGTGTAGAGTGGTAAACATTTCTATGTAAATGAAATCTAGAATTTCTGTGGTATCTGCTAAGGAGGAAGAGCCGAGAGGGCTTGCCTAGAAGGTTTATCTGTACAGAAAGCTTCATTTTCACTTGGATGCTTAGGTGGCTCGGGGCTATGATGATGGAATGCATGGAGATGGGGCTGACACTCCTCTTCACCTAAGCAAGACAGCCATAGTCTGTAGGGTCACTGAGCCAGTCTCCTGAGTAGGAGTCAGGAAGCTCCGGCTCCTGGGAGCCTTGGTTCCGGAAGGCAAGGTCTGGTAATCCATGCCCATGCCCAAGAGCAGCCTCCCTTTTTTTACATACTATCAGTCTCTTACCTATCGTCAGCCGGGCGGGAGCATCTGCTTGTCGCTCACTTGATGAGAGCCCTTGCCAGCCGGCGGTCCCTGCCGCTGCAGCTGGGAAGATAGATGGCACTGATTTGGCTGGCCGCAGGGAGCTCTGTGTAGTTTTGCCAGGGTCCTTCCTAGAGCGCTGCTGAAGGACCTTGATCACAGCATCCTTCTCCAGGATCTGGGCATGGAGCACCTTTAGCCTAAGAAAGGAAACCATGTCCACATGATCAGACCCACAGTCAAGAAACTCCAGCCTTCCCACCTTGTGGAAGTTGGAGAGAAAGCCCTCTCTAAAGCCATGTGGGACCTTCTTTCCCTCACAGTGCAGACATGGAGTAGAGCTGATGCTCTCAGAGCCAGGGCACATGAGGTGCTGGATGGGCCCTTCTCACATTGTCTAAGCGGGTCAGCAGGGCCAGATCTAAACTCATTGTTGATAGATAGCAGGGACATGACCCTCATCCTGGAGAGCAATACTGAGGATTGGGGTGAACAGCCTGGATGCCCCAGTACCTGCACAACCAGACCATGTTTACAATTCCCAGTGTGCCAAACATGCAGGGTCAGCCTAGAAGCAGAGGGATTGCTGAGCTGAGTGGGGACAGGGACCTGTTTACCAGGGATCAAGGACAGGGCAGTAACTGGACACTGTCTTAGGCGGCCTGGCCGGCCTGCAATGCCTAACCTGCTTTCCATCTCCTGATGCCTGTGGCCACCGGTGAGTAGGCCCTCGTTGAAGCTGCTGCTGGGAGAGGGCTGGGGGGAGTGTCGGATGAGAGTGGTGTCACGCTGGGCGGCTGCGGTGGCGGCAGCATCCATGGCAAACTGTCTCATGGCACGTTCCTCCAAATACTTCTGCTCCCACTTAGTCATGTCGGCCTCCAGTGCCAGGATCTGCTCCTCCTTCTCGCGAAGTTGTTCTGACAGTCGCAGGGCACTGAGCTCGGGGCACCCACCATTGCTGCTGCCCCCACTGGGTGTGCCCGCCTGTCTCTGCAGAACAAGGAACATCGCGTCAAGGTGGAGGTTGGGGCATGGTGGCGGTGAGTCCTTGTGGACATAGGAAATTATATAATAAGTTCTCTGGATGGGACCAGGAATGCTATCAATAATTACTCTGTGGGAAAGGCAAGGATGGGAGTGGAGACAGAGCTATGTGGTTTGTAAACACTAAGAGATGTTTACACAGAAGCCCAAGCAAAAATAAAGACTCTGGACCTGCAAGACCAACTTCCTTCCTATCTTGTGGAGCTAGATGAGAACTGGCCAGTTTTCCACGTGAAGGTTAACAGCAGCCTACTTTCTCTACCTATCACAGATGCCAACCTGTGTTATTGCTGAGGACACGTCCCAAACCTGGACACAGATCAATTGCCCTTGCTTTTTGGGAGGCTGTGGTTAGGTCTGAGCAGTGGCTCCCAGAGCCCTCAGACCTCGCCTCCAAACCTAGACCTGTGGAGGCTGTCGGGGAGCTGGCAGCTCAGATGCTGCTCTAGTTCTGTTTTCCTCACTGGCCTGCCGAACTCACTTGCTGTGCACGCAGGGCCTTGAGTTCCTGCTCTAGGCGTGTCCGCAGGCGTAGCTCCAGCTGCTCTCGCTTTTCGCAGGCAGCCTGCAGCTGCCCAAGTGCCTGCTGTAGCCGCTCAACCTTCTCCACATAGGCCTGCTTCTTGCGCAGCTCTTCCTCCGCTCGTGCTGCACGGCCCTGTGCATTGCCCAGAGCCTGCTCCAGCAGCTCGGCCCGTCGCCGCTGGTCCTCGATGGCACCACGCAGCAGTGCCATCTCACGCTCTAGCTTCTCTTGCTCCTGCTGCTGCTCATAGACTGCAGGGAGGAGAGGGGCTTGGTCAGTCATGGTGAGCACCCTTGCTTCCTCCACTGACTGTTAGGCTGTGTGTTGACAACTCTTTCTCACCCTCTCAAGCAGCCTAGAAGTTAGGTACGGTGAGCAACCCTATTTCACAGGGCAAGAGGACATGGCAGCCATCAGGGCCCTTGAGGTAACAACTATACCACACCATCTCTCTGCTAGGACACTTTCAATTGTGCCAGATGCCACCATCTCCAAAACACAGCCAGCATTTCCCTTGAGCCTCTGGATGGCTAGAGAAGGTAAGGGAGGTCTGTCATTCCCATTTACAGAGGAGAAAATGAAGGTTCAAGAGGACTGTGACATGGTCAGTGTTCAAGTGAGAGGACAAGGAAGGAAGAAGAAAAACACCATTTGCTTCCTCACATCTTCCAACAGGTAAGATTTGTGCCCCTTCCCCCTTATAGAGGAAGAAACATAAGAGAATGGTGCTGCCAAATGGGAACCCAAGTTGCACTGATTCCAAGGGTCTGGGTTGTCTGGCTGTACTGTGTAGGACATTTGACCCTACAGGTCTCTCTCCCAGTGTGTGCCCCAGAGCTTATTCTGCAAACCCAGGCCTCTCCTATTAAGTGCCACACTTCTGTTCATGATCTGTGAATCTAGATGTAGGCAACCAAGCTCACAAAAGAATGCAAACTCTACAACATAGCGAAGATGACTCTGGTCCAAAGATGTGTGCCTGAGGTTTTTCTTGACTTTTAAATCATCTTGTTAATTTCCCAGGCGCACTCTGCTTAGAGACTTTCTCCAAATAGTTGGCCCAAATGAGGCCCTGGCCAAATCACTGGGTCTTCAGCCCATGCTCTAGGCTAAGTCCCCACTCTGCCTTGCCCTCTGGAAGTGTTAGGCTGATCTCCTGAGGAGTGGATGCCTACTCTGCTGGAGAGAAGAACAGGCTGTGGGCCCTGCCGAAGGAACCCAAAGCACTCTCTCTGGAGCAGCACTTTGATCTAGTGGACTCTTCTGTTACAGTGGAATTATTCTACAATGTGCCATCCAAACAGTAGCCACTAGACCACATGTGGCTGTTGAGCATTTAAAATGTGATAAGATGGGGGAACTGGATATTAACTTTATTTCTCATTTATTTTAATCTTTTGGGCCACCTGCCATGTTGAACAGTGCCCTTAGCACACAGCGAGGGCATTCAATTATAGATAGATGAGCTAGATAATGGTATTATAGGCAGTCAGATAGGACTAAGTCCTCTAGAGGGCCAGAACAAAGGTGAAACACACTATGGCTACATGTCGGTTAAAACCAGTCCTCAAAGATGGAGACAAGATGACCAGACCCCATACTTGTTCAAAAACAATGTGCTCAGTTAAATATAGACATCGACCACCCTGGGGGTGACCAGAGACCTCTAGACCCACTGCCTCCTAGGAAAATCTTTACTACGTGACTTGCTTCCCAATTGGACCAACATTACCTAACTGACTATACTTTTAATCTTATTGGATGTTCATGGCCGTGGCCCACATTGTACCTACGTGGGTTTTACCCTATAAAACTCTGTAAAGTAGGGTCCTTGGCTACCCACTCAGGACCCTTCCTGCCCCTCAGGAGCTTTCCTATCAATAAATATCTCCTACTTTTAACCTCCGTCATCCCTAGGACTTGTTCTTTCGTTTCTAGAGAACAAGAACTCGGCATATGATACAGTTAACAAGCTGGGAGATACAGTCCATATTTTCCTGCGCCACATTGACTCAGGGCAGGAAAGGGACACAGGTAACCCTGGCTTACTCTGGAATTCTGAAGGCTGACTGGTTTCATTCCTCGGTGTGGAGGGAAAAGATGTGGAAGGGTGATGATAAGGAGACAAAACCCTTCATATTCTGCTGCCTTAACATTCAGTTAGTAAGGCGAGGGAGCAGGCAGGTTTGGACTCAGACAGTGTTCCCGACAGCTTGGAAACCCTGTATCTCATTCCAACCTCGACATCACCAGGAAGTAGAACACTGTTCCATCTTACAGTCCAGGAATCTGAGGCTCGGGGTGAGAAGACAAGGGAGCAGAGCAAGCAGACTTCAGGATCCCCAGGGAGGGTGCTGAGGGCTGCACAGCTCGCATAGGGGGAAAAGCAGATAGGAATGGTGTGATGGCCACACTCTGTGCTAGTGCTGCCTGACACCATGAACAAAAAAGGTCAACCAGACATCCTCCCGGAGAATTGCTTGGAGTGGTGGAGCCAGGGGATGCAGCCTTCTGCTTCCAGAAACTTCCTGCAGCTTTGTACAATCTCCAAAATGCCCTGGTGGAGGCTGGGAGACTGGTCCTTGGGGGCCAAGAGGACCTAATTAAACAGTGGTTCTGCTGCCAGTAGGCAGCTTGAGGATGGTGTGTAAGAAGGCTAGTGAGAATTGCGCCCCTTCCAAAGGTCCAGGGATATGCAGGTGAGTCCTGAGCCAAGAGCCGCCCCACTGCCAGGCCCAGTCTGCCTTTGTGTTGGAACTGCCTCCTCCCGCCTCCTCCCAGCCTTCCCTTCCAACCTCCCAAAGCCCGGAGGGGCCGAAGGGCGCCAGGCTCCGGCACTCCACGGCGGGAGGGGGGAGGGAGGGGGGAGCCGGGCGGGAGCGGAACAGCCCAGCGGCTCAGGAATGCCAGGCATTCAGGTCACCCGCGGCTGCCTGCGAGATTAAGGGCTCCAGCGAGAAGCCAAGAACAGCCCGGCGCTGGCTCACTCCCCAGGAGCGGAAACGCCTCCCAGCCAGCCTCCCCCTTCTCTCCCCTTCGAAGGCTTCCAGAAACCACCCTCTCTACTTCCTTTCTTTGGGAGAGTCAGGCACTAAAAGCCCGCCGTCCCTCTCTGGCAGAGCACCCCCATCTGCCCCCATCTGCCTCGCCCACCAGCTGCAGCACTCTAGACCCCCAAGGCTGCACCGCTTTCCTCCAAACTCCTTTCCAAACTCCCTTGGCCCAGGCCACTTCACTCAGCCAGGCCAGTAGAAGGCTAGCCTGCCTCCTGCCAATCTTGTCAATCCCCTTAGCCTTTGTTTCCCTATTCCCAACCCAGCGTCCAACTGGTATACAGAGGGAGGTGCTGTACAGGGCTCTGAGCGCCCTTTAAAGGAAGAAGGGATGCTGCCAGGTAGACAGCCCTCACGCTGCTTCTGGGCACTCTACTGCTCATAGGTTTTCTGATGGGTTCCTTCCTCAAGGCCACCTTACCCCAGAAACCAACCATTCTCATCCCCGTGTGACTCTGAGCTTCTTCCCGCTGCTGAACTCAGGGGGACCCTCTGTGACCCCCAGCCCCTCCATGCACCTCCACTGGAGCCATCTAATTGCTTCTCCATCCCTGTTGGCCCCACAGGTTGCCCAGGCCACCGGGGACCTCCTCATGACTACTAGTCTCTGGGATCATGAACACTCTTATCTTATGCTTCTGTTTCAAGTTCATGGCACCTCTCTTGACCTTCTTTCCATTTCATGGGCCTGTTTTCTCCCTCTGCTAGAAAACCTGCCAGACGCTTAGGCCAATTCTGCTATTGAACACATGGGTGAAGGAAGGGAGAGAGGAAGGAGTGGACCAGGCAGTGAACTTATCTCTCCTTCAAGGATGACCGCACATCCCCCTTTAGAAAGAAGCCTCCAGAACTCCTCCTTTAGACTGTTGGCAGCCTTGCTATGGCACAGCTCCACTAGGCTTTGAAGCTTCTTATATTCCCATTTAAAGGCTTTCTGTTGCCTGGAAACCCCCAGGAAACTTTGATTCTTCATTCTCCTGGTTGCCAGGGCTTCCCTGCCTCCTCTTCCCCTGCCATACACCTCTGTTGCAGACAATCTTAAACTGATGGTCAGTACCACAGCTCAGCCTATCACTGTTCCCCAGCTTTCTCGTGGATATTGAACGCTCTTCCTACCAAATATGGAACTAGACCTCTTTGGAAGCCACCCCTCCACTGAGGTCTAGTCCTGTGTTGGGCATAAAATAGCTATTCGGTAAACCTTTACCTAAAGTACTGCTTTGTAAGGGAGAGGGCCACCTCACCATCCAGGGAGGCCACTGTGGTATTATTATTTGCACACCTAGCCAGGCTTCTTAGTGGGACCCCTACTCACTCTGAGCAAGCAGCTTGGCCACCATATCTTGACTGCCCGCCTGGGAGTCCTGCATCTTGCTTGCCAGGCGGCGGTTTGCAGATTCCAATCTCTCTGTTTCAAATGAAGAAGGACAGATGTTCTAGAGTCATGCAATGCTGCCTGCCTGGTATTTTCCCTGGGACTGCCTCTTCCAAGCTGGAGGTAGGCTCCTGGGGAGGCCCAACTCAGCCACCCAGGAGGAAACACCCTTTGTTGGGACTACATGCTGGGGACCCTTGAGGTGCTTCAAGGCCCAGAACACAGGGACAAGCATCTCTCCACAAAGGCGCCCCCCAGAGTCAACTTGCACTTATGTTTGCAGAGAACAGAGATTTGGAATTTTTCCCTAGAACAACAAAGCTCTGCAGATGCTCCCCAGCCTTCCCACTGTGTGCCCAGATCTTACCTCTAAGATCACGGTTGAAGTCCTGCAACCGCCTCATTTCACTGTCCATCTTATTCCGCATGGTCTTTTCCAGGGCCTCACGCTTGGAAGAGGCCCTTGTCAGGCTCTCATGGGCTTCAGAGAGCCGCTGGATTTCACTCTCCAGCTGCAAGAGGCACAAGCAGAGATGAAGGAAGGACAGGGCTCCCAGGGACTGATTCCAGGCAGACCTCCCACTTTATACCAGAAAAGGAGAAAGAGAAGAGGATAAAAAGCAAGCAAAAAACCCAAGTGGCTCTAGTGAGATGGTCAGAAGCCTGCAGCCTACTGAGGAGGGCCAGACTGCTGGGACCAGCACCAAGGACCAGATGCTGACTGTACCCTGGGCCAGGAACTCAGCAAGGGACTGCTTCCAGGGCACCTAAATACAACTTTTCTATTCCCATTGTCCAGAAAGCAGCATTTCACTTTTGGCTAGTGTGTGCTGAGAAATTTCAGGAGAAGGGAGCCAGGATGGGCATGTTCCGGGTGGTCTGATCCCACCAAACACAACAGGCAGGCCTGAGGCCATCTGCTAAAGCTGAACCTTAGCTCACCACTCTAAGCCTTCACTAAAGAAGGGGGCACCAGACCTGAGCCTGAGCCTCTGGAGTCTCTGCTTCCCACTTTGCCACCGTCTATGAAGAGGGCCACCCTGGCCCCAAGTGCCCCTCCCACTTGGCGGCCACAGGTCCTGCACGTGCTCCTAGCTGGCTTGCCATGCCAATAAGTCGCTTTTTTTTTCCTCAAGAGGAGGGACTTTCTCTCTGGCCTGGAACAGACTGGCTGTTGTGTGGGGGACACAAAGAGCTCTCTGTGGGAGGTGTCCAAGGGAGGGGGTGTGTGCAGGGCCAGGGTGTGAGTGAGCAGGGAGCTGGTGAATGAGCTCTTTCTAACTGCCGCTGGCCAGCAACTGCTCATGCTCCAGGCCTGCTCTGCCAGCCTCTCGGCTGTTCCCCAGCTGTCTGGAGTCAGCTGGGGAGGTGCATGAGGAGTGAAGGGGAATAGGGGCCTGAAGCACAGAAATCCAGCCAGATGCAGGCTTTCAGACTTCTCTGCCTTCCTCTACCCTGCCCACTCCCTCAGCAGACCCTGGAAGGCCCTGCCTCTCCCACCCTGTGGGAGACCTGTCTGAGACCACAACAAGCCTACCTTTTCAATGCAGCTCGCCTTTTCTGCAGAGCTCTCCAGCTCCCTCTGCAGCCTGGCATTCTCCCTCCACACAGCCTCCATCTGGGCCAGATGGGCACTCCCCACGGTGGCTGAGGCGGCTTGGACACTTGCTGGTCCCTCCACTCCCAGACCATGACTCCCATGACTGAGAACAGCCAGATGTGGGGGTGCAGGGTGCTCCTGGGGCTGCTGCAGGTACTGCTGCTGGAGGAACACAGGAGGTACTTGGGCCTGCAGGATCCTGGGGAATAGAAGACACACACTCAAAGACCTCACAGATTCCCCACTGCTGCTAACTACTAAGCCTCTCCAGTGCGAGGCAGTGGCCAGTGGCGAGGGTATTTCCCAAATGGTGGCTGCCCAAGGCTTCCTTAGACTCAAGGGCTAGAGAGCAGGGCTGGAGGGGATGAATGCCAAGATGTCATACCCTGCCTCACTAGGGCCAAGGCCTTGAGGATCACCCTGAACCATCCTAGGCCTCACAGGAACTAGTGCTCCAATAAGGCATTGTTAAAAATGCACCCTTGGGCCGGGTATGGTGGTGCACACCCATAATCCCAGCACTTGGGAGGCTGAGGCAGCAGGAGGATCATGGAGAGTTTGAGGCAAGCCTGGGCTATATAGTGAGTCCAGGGCCAGCCTGAGCTACAAGGTGAGACTCTGCCTCAAAAAAAAAAAAAACAAAAAAAAAAAACAAAAAAAAAATCCAAAAAAACAAAAACACTCTTGAGCTTTCTAATCAATAGAAGTTTCATTCTGGTTCATAACCATATAGTCTTCCAAGGCCCCGGGGCAACTGAGTAGCTGGGCCCGGCAGCTTCCCTGTGTTCATTACAAGTCCTCAGTTTCAGGTCCACTGAAGCAGCACACTCTAGTTCTCCTTCCTATGTCAGGTCTTTGTATCAATCCACTCAACCCCTAGAACATTCCTAGAAGGCTTTGCTTAAGGTGACAGCAGTAAGACAGATGTCAGGGTAAGGGTATGACACATAAGGCTTCAAATCCCAGCTCCAGCTGTTAGACCTCAAAGTGCCTCAGGCCCACAGTATGGCTATTTCTCTGCTGTTTCAGGAGGGTCTCCAACCTCACAGGTAAGGACTGGTAGATTCTGGGGGACAGCAAGCACTCCCTTAATGGCAGGCCATCTCAGCTCTCATGGGAGGGATCTCGGCCTCCTCTAAGTTTGAAGTCTGAGGGCTGCAGTGTTCAAGGGATAATGTTCTACACGCTCATGGAACAGGTGTACCATCACCCTCAGGGGTCTGTGTTGAAGGAAGAAGCAAAGAGAGGCATGGAAAATCACAGGGCCTTTCACAGGCCTTGTGACTCCAAGCATCATAACTGTTTCCACTTCATAAGGAAATTTTCAAGTTTTAGAAGCACATAAAAACTGAATTCACTTCTGGGTCCATTCCTCCATGCCATCTTACAGTTCAGTCCCTCGGCTTTTATTACACCCTAGACTCAAGTCCCTGTCCCCAACACCCAACAGTTTTCATTTGTCAGCTGAAAGGAGAAAGCAGCAGGTGCATTTCTCTGCTACCTAAAAGTAAGGCTTCCAGTGACAGCTGGGCAGAACCCCGTGCCCCTGAGACGTCCAAACTCTGCTTTCTCTGCTAATGTGGCCATTCTCAGGGTGGCTCCTGAATCCTGCTGCCCCTGCATGGGGCCAGGCAGACACAGCAGCATTCTTTGGGGATGACTTAGCTGCAAGAAAGAATAGTGTCTCCCCTCGCACGACGCTTGCTTTCCCTTCCCCCACTCTCCCCCTTCTCTTTTTGTTCTCCTTCAGTCTACTTCCCTGCTATGATATTATCATTTCCTGACACAGTTCAATAAGGCTAGTCCAAAAGAAGAAACCACGACTCAGCTTCCGAAACTCTTCCTGACCAGCCCTGAGAAGTGAGATAAAGCGGGAGTCTGGATGGGTTGGAGCTGGAGAAAGCCTATGAGGCTTCATCCCACGGTTCCTCCACACCAATGTTGTCACGCTACTTACTCATTTCTTGTGAGCAAGGAAAGGCATCTTCCACAGGCAAGACCAGATGGTGGGAAAGTGAGTGACTAAATGAAGACTCAGCAGGTGTGAAAAGACTCAGACTTGGACCCTGAGCCACCACACAAATCCACGGGGCCCTCTGGTGGGGTTCCCTAGACACCCCAAGGGGGAGATGCGACAATGATGGATGTATCTGCCTCTCTGGAGAAGGTGCTGAGCCAGGTGAGATGACTGAGGCAGAGCCTCATTTCCAGGACCCCTCTTTTCTACAGTTATCTGGCTTCCTGCCTCCCTTGCTTCCATTCTGGCCCTTAGGCTCCCTATCTCTACATGCAGACATGTGTTACCCACATATTCACCTTTTGAAGCTTAATCAAGTCACATCCTCTCGTGGCTTCCCTTCATACTTAGTCAAAATCTGACCTTTCTGAGCCTCCACAGAAATGGAAAAGCTTAAAAGGAAGTGAACAGTAGTGACAGGACAGCTCTGACAGACTGGTCTCTAGCGTGGCTGGCCACCTGGTTCTTTCAGTCTCATTAGGAACACCTGTCCTAATTATCACAGAAAACAAGCTGTCCACTGAAACAAAAGTAAAACCTCCAGGGGAGGTCCCATTTTCTTTCTTCTTGGGAACAATTTGTCAATGACGCCCATTCTTTGTCCTTAGAAAGTTCTTTCTGCAATCTCACCTCTAACCCTCACTACATTTCCTCTCCTCTGGGAACCTTAATTACTTGACTACTACATCTAAGCAGACAGTGGTGTCATCTCTGAACCAAAGCAATGATGCTAACTTTTTATGTGACCTTGGCTGAGTTCTCCTCTCCTCCAGCCTTTGGGTCTCCCTTCTCTCAGGGAAGGAGGGTTACCTCATGCAGCCACTGGAGCTGGAAGGGGTGGAGTGGGCTAGGGATCTTCTCAGCTCACATTCCTTGCCAGGAGAGGATACTGAGGCTCTCCTCCCTGGGAGACTACACTGGAAGGAAGAGAGGAGCTTAAAGGCTACAGTGGGTGTAGTTACCTGACTTCAGCATGCTGGAAGTGTGGGCTGCCGCGGGCACGGTACCTCGGGTCAGTGACAGCAGTAGTTTCATGAGAAGGTGCAACATGTGGGTACTGTGGTGGGGGTCCACGGGACTCCGGGCCCTCAGCAGGAGGGCCTCGGGGTGGAGGGCCCTGCTGGCTGCGAGCCAGCTGTGGGAAGCTGTGAGAGGTGCTCATGTGGCTGGGGCCTCGGGCACCGTTCCTCTCCAGGGAAAGCTGCAGGAGCCGTTCACTGAGTGAGCGCACATGCCCATGCCTCAGCTCCCGTAGGGCCTCATCCTGCCGGCGGACGCCTCCTGGAGCCCCACGAGGATCCCGTTCTCCAAGGTGTGGCCTTGGCCCTCCCTGCTGAGCTGCATAGTACTGTGAGTGGGCTTTGGCCTCCTCGTAGGTAGGCAGCTCCTCACCCTTGCTGGGCTGTGGGCACAGCCGGTAGAGGGTGTTTTCTGCCAGGTGGGTCTCACCACCCTGGTGCTCCTGGCCTTGGGGCTCTTGCCTGGTGGCCTGCTGAAGCACCTGACTGTCCTCAGGTGGCAAGATCTCCAGGGAGGCCTGGGGGCTCCCTGTGCCCCCAGCTCCAGCCCCACCCCGCAGGGCCTGCTGCTGGATAGCCAGCAGTGTACGTGTCTCCGTCAGGTTGCCATAGCGCAGCTGCTCCTGGATGAGGCGGTGCAGGACTGTCCCAGAGGAGTCTTCCAAGGTCCTCATGATTCTCTGGCTTACACACACCTGCCTAGACAATGGCCAGCAGGCACCTGACCCGAGAGCACCTGGAGAAGGTGAGGGAGAGAGAGCTCATATGAGATAGGGGACAACCTCCCATTACAGTCTGGTTGCAAGCATAATGGTAAGGAGCAATGCTGGGGTAGTCGAGTTTCACACAAGCCTAGGTTCAACTTCCAGTCCTGTCCCCAATTGATTAAAGCAAATTACCTAACCTCCAAGCCTATTTTTCCATTAAAAAAAAAAATGAATGAATACTGCTTGTTACACAGTTGGGATGTAAAAGAGAATAACCACTGAGCTCCTGGTACACTGTAAGTCCTTGGCAGATGATTACCATTGTAATGACATTCAGAGACTTATTAACCCTAGAGAAATATGACAGCAAACCAGAAAGTAATCCAAAAGAAGCAACAGCCCTCAGAAGTCAGCCACCAGTAAACATCTTCATGAATGACCCATGGCCAGCTTAGCTCAGATATAACCACTTAGCTGCCCAGACCAGAAATCAACAGGGTCGCTGTTTAAAGAATGAACTATCCCTGTGATAAAAGAATGAACTAGGCCTGGGGCTTTAGCTCAGTGGTGCTGCCAGCTGCCTTGAAAGAAGCGCAAGGTCCTCTCCTGAGTTCAATCCCTGGTGCCAAAAAAAATGGAGCCTGGACAGTGTTCCCAGGTCCCCCTAGAATGAAGACGCCTTGTGGCCAGCCTTAGCACAAGGTACTCTCCTCTACCCTCATGAGCCATCTGCCTGCTTCCCTTATTCTTCCTGAACCACTGAACTCTTGGAGGAGTGCCCCTGGGCCCTGCTTCACCAAAGGCTGCTGATAAATTGAATATGGGACTCCTTGTCATGGGTGACCTTGGCGGTCACTGTGCAGTGAACAAGAGGGAGAAACCGCCTCTGAATTGGCGAAAAGGATGACAAAAGAAAGGCTGAATACAATAGGACAATGGTTTTGTGAGATGAGGCAAAAAGGTTAGCAGGCCAGCCACCTAGTGAGTGCTCACAGAAACAGCATGGGAGCCAGGGGGAAGAAAGAACTCCACATGTCATCCTACTTATGATCTCCCCGTCTCTGCACACATTTGCTACCTGGAAAAGCCCACTAGGACCCTCAGTATCTGTTCTTGACATCAGTAACAACCTTACAGGTCTGAAGGATAGGAAGTGTGAGCCTAAGGTTTGGGAGATCTTATCTAAGGAATTGGTTCGCTTTTGTGCCTGAGCTCCCAATGGTTCATGTCCTGGGAAACAGCCTGCCTCCCTCACTCGGCTTCATTTCCACGGCCTCCTCCAAGACAAACTTCTAAAACGAGATCAAGGGGAACAACAAGCAAACTCCACGCTGCCACAGGTCCTGTGTGTATGGGGCGTGGAGGGAGAGGGGAATGTGGCCTCTCCTCTGCCACAAAACCAGCCCTGGTGTCCTGCCTCAGGCTTGGCAGGTTGGCATAGCAGCTATTCCCAATCCACTCTCCCATTCCAAGGCCTCCCAGATTGGGGCGTGGGGTGGGAGGGGTACGAGCCTGCACCCGTTCATCGTCCGCACCCCCAAGCCTCCACTACCAGGGGCAAAACAAGCAAGCAGGAGTCAATTCGCGTGGGGTTTCATCTTCAGGGCATTTCCCAAGTTAATCACTGTCTGGGGCTGACTCCTGCTGAGGAGGATCCGGGAGCGGTGAGAAGGAATGCAGAACCTTCCGGAGATTCCAGGCGTGCCGACAGTGCTCCAGGACCGGAGATGGGCACAACTCAGAGGCCTCTCATCGCAAATTTGTCCCAGTCAAGCCCCTGAGTCAAGCCCCTTTCAGATATCAAAAGTCTGAGTTTTTACTAAGCTTGGTTTCCCTTATCAGAGCACTGCACCTCTACTGAGGTAGCGCGCTGCGCCCTCTGAAAGCCACCTTGCCAAGCGAGGGCGTACCTCCAGTCTCGCCCGGGCTCACACTCCCCGAAAGAACCACAGCTAGGGTCCAAATCAGATCACACAGGGGCGGATCCGAAAACCGGCAGACCCCAGTGTAAAACGGGCAAGATGGAGAGGACACTCCAAGGCCCGGAGAGGTCCTTAAGAGTCGCGGGTCTGCCTCCCTCTCCCTCTCCCAGACCTCTTTGTTTTCCAAATACTCCAGCGCTGACGTCACCGGGCTGGACAGCAGGCTGCATTCTTTCTAAGTGAGAGCCAATTCGTGGTTCAAGAGAGGCTTTTCCAAGGAAGACAAAGATGAATTCCTGGGCTAGTGGGGGACAATGACACCTGTACCCCCCGCCTAGCCAAATCTGCCACAAGGGCTCTACAGCCTGAACTCCACCAGGCGCCTGCATCCGCGTTCTACGCCCCCCAACCACGACCCACAGTACGAAACCTCCCTGCGTTTTCCAAATCTGTCCCCTCCTGCAGCCCCGGGGGGATCCGGGAGCTTTCCAGACCCAGATCCAAGAGCACGGTTTCCTGGGCTAACGACCCTCACCCGGCGCAGCGGCCGCCTTGAAAAAGCACACTGCACCCGGAGGACGAAGGCCTCCTGGAGAAGGCCGGGCGCGGGTACCCGGGCTCTCGCGGGGCTCGTCCCTGTGGAGCGCCGAGCGGCTTT